AGTTCTCGTGTCACGATCGAATTGAGCAAGCTGTTCATTTTTGAGGCTAGATTGGGGGCGTGCTGGTTTTTTTTGGCATGCTTTTTAAAAAGTTTTTTATCTCACACCTGTCCTAGAGAGACTTAAGATTGGGTGTTGCATCATCTGGGTCTCTTGACAAAGAGGTTTCTTGTGGGTTGTGAGTCCTACAGTGCAACGGTGGCCACCGATATAATGGGGGCTTTGGAGAGTGTCCAGTTAAGTGGTCTTTGCTGGAAGTTTTCAAATGGATGACCTTAAGCAAAGGCAGCCCTGTATAGCTATTGTGTTGTTCCCACCTCACTATATTTCTGTGTGTATGTCTGGGGACAACCCATGGAAGAAATAATGGGGAAAGATGGCTGCACAGGTAGTCCTTGACTTACGACCAGAATAGGGCCCAACAATTTTTGTCTCCAAGTGAAACCTTTGTTAAGTGAATTTTGCTCCCGTTTTACGACCCTTCTTGCCACAGTTGTTAAGTGACTCACTCCAGTTCTTTAAGTAAGCAACATGGTTGTTAAGTGACTCTGGCTTCCTCCTTTGCTTGTCAGAAGGTCGCAAAAGGGGATCGTGTGACCTGCGACCGTCATAAATACGAGTCAGTTGCTAAGTGGCTGAATTTTGATCACGTGACCACTGAGATGCTGCCACAGTCAGAACTGTGAAAAAAAAAAGGTCCTAAGTCCCCCCTTTTTTAGTGCCGTTGTGACTTTGAATGGTCACTAAATGAATTGTTGTAAGTCAAGGACTACCTGTATTCCAGAATTCCTGTCTAGGTAGATATTAATTCAGAGGTCCCCAAACTTGGCAACTTGAAGACTTGTGGACTTCCAACTTCCCTGGCTGGAGAATTCTGGGAGTTGAAGTCCACAAGTCTTAACGTTGCCAAGTTTGGAGACCTCTGAATTAATTCCAACATATCAGAAGAAGGCCCCAGGTTGGCCAAAGTCTTAAGGGAAACAGAACAATAAGTCACCATTGGGAAAAGATAGGAGGGAAAGAAAGAACAAGGCGGGGCGGAAGAGACCTGGAAGTGAGTTGAAATACAGAGGAGAGGAGAGCTTTGAAGAAAAAAAATGGTCATAAGGAAAGAGGAAGCAGAGGCTGCATTAACAGAGGGATAGAATCAAGATCATGTGAAATGTTGGTATCTCTTTATAACCCCTTAAATAAGGCCACACTTGGAATATGGCACCCAGTTTTGGTTGCTACCATATTAAAAAGGATGTTGAGACTCTAGAACAGGGGTCTTCAAACTTGACAGCTTTAAGACTTGTGGACTTTCGCTCCCAGAATTCCTCCTCCTGTCATCTTAGCTCAGGAATTCTGGGAGTGGAAGTCCACAAGTCTTAAAGCTGTCAAGTTTGAAGACCCTTGCTCTAGAAAGAATGCACAGAGGAGCAACAAGGGCGATTAGGGGGCTGGAGGCTAAAACGTAGGAAGGAGGGTTGCAGGAATTGAGTATGTCTGGTTTAATGAAAAGAAGGACTTAAGGGGATACACTGACGATAGCAGTGAGTGGAAACTAATCAAGGAGAGAAGCAACTTAGAAATAAGGAGGAATTTCCTGACAGAACAATCAGTGGAACAACTTTCCTCCAGAATTTGTGGGTGCTCCACCACTGGAGGCTTTTAAGAAGAGATTGTACAGCCATTTGTCTGAAACGGTATAGGGTTTCATGCTTAAACAGGGGTTGGGCTAGAAGACCTCCAGGGTCCCTTCCAACTTTGTTATTCTTTTATTGGATGCATGCAGCCCACCAGCCCTACTGTCCATTCAGGTCTCCTTTTGGGGAAGGGAGTAATTCAAACACCCAGTGATTTCCAGAACTTCTTTCCAACGAGAGCGATGCCAGAAGAAGCAACGCCATCTCTGCTGCCTGCATTCCCCGATTTATTGATTGATTTATTTTCCTATTCCCTTTTTTTGGTGCAAGCCGTGTGTCTTATTGACCTGCTCTTCTCCCCAACCCCGTACCCCATTCCAGCTTCTTTTCCCCATGGCTGCAGTTGCTTTCTTGCTGAGTGTTGGGGTCTTCCCAGGTGCCTGGTAACATGTCTGGCTGTAGGTAACTTTCTGTTTCTTCTTTCTCTCTTTCCCTTTTCTCCTTGCGTGTGCGTGCGTGCGTCTGTGTTGTGTGTTGCTAACAGGGCGGATTCAGGTCTCTCCAGGTAAATCCCTTTTCTATAATCCTACTCTGGTTGGGACTGGGAGGGCCACCCCCCCCCCTTCGAGTGTGAGTGGAAGTACCTTAAACGCCCCTTCGTGCTGTTAAGTTTGTAGTTTGTGGTGCTGTTAAAACAGCTGTAATTTTAGCCTGTAGGGATCATGAGATCTTAGAACAGGAACTTTGAAGACTTGCTGGCTGGAGAATTCTGGGAGTCGAAGTCCACAAGTCTTAAAGTTGCCAGGTTTGGGGACCTCTGTCTTAGAAGATGATGGTGGTTTTTTGTTTTTTTTTAAAACCCAATTCCATGTTGCACAAATCTCTGGGAAAAGTGTGATGGGTCACTGAATTTGAGTGCTTCATAATGACCCTTCTTTGCTTTTCACGATTGTTCTTCATTCCTCTGGCTTCTCTCCGTATGCATCCTCTCCCTCTTTTATTTCAGTGCGTTTGGTCTTTCACTCTCTTCCCCCCCCCACACACTTCTCTTCTCTTCCCACCCTGAGTGTTGCATTACAGCACTTTTTGCTCACCCCCGAATCGGAGATTGTAGCTCACAGAATATCCAGGGATTCCCAAAAACCTATCCCATTTTGGGGCCGCCCATCTCGTCCTCCCAAGAGGAACTCGGGGCGGTGTACAATTAAAATACTAAGACGGAAAAAAAAAATAGAATAAAAAGTATAGAGCAGTTAAAATTTTTAAAAAGAGGCAAGGATGAGGAAAAGCAAGGTTAAAAATTGATTCAGAAAGGGGAAAGGATGGCTTTCAGGTTAAAGAAAAATGCTGTTATGTCCCAGGGCATGTAATGTCAGCGTTCCCCTACATCTCTCTAGAGTTACACATTGATTGTATGTTAGTTTCCTATACTAGCTGACTGAAATTGGAGAAAGTTTCCAGGGTTTCTAATATCCTAGCATTGCTAACTTCCATTAAATATAACTTGTAGTTTTCTGGTCCTTTTGTTTGCTGATAAAGGGGGAAGAAGGGGTAGATAATTCGATCTTTATAGGATAGGAACCTTTGCATGACAGGTAGTCCTTGAGTTACAACCACCACCTAGCCCAACATTCCCGTGGCTAAGCAAGACAATGGTTAAGTGAACTTTGCCCCATTTTTACGACTTTCCCTGCCGCTGTTTAAGTGAATCCCTGCGATTGTGAAGTTAGGGACGCAGCTGTTAAACAAATCTGAATTCCCCCTTGACATCGCTCATCAGAAGGTCGAAAAGGGGGATCCCGGGGCCCCCCCCCCCCCCCCCCCCGGGACACTGCAACCGGTCATAAATACGAGTCAGTTGGGAAGCATTCCACTCTAGATTACGTGACACTGAGGATGTTGCGACGGTTGTAAGCGTGAAAATATGGGTCGTAAGTCGGGGTTTTTTTTGTCAGTGCTGCTGTGACTTTGAGCGGTTGTAAGTTCAACCGTGCAACAGTTGACTGACCAAATGATTGTAAGTGGAGGAGTACCTGTATGCGTTTTCACCAGTCCAGCTTATTTTACAGCAGGGGTCTCCTCCAACCATGGCAACTTTAAGACTTGTGGACTTCAACTCCCAGAGTTCCTTAGCCAGCCAAGCGGATGGGGCTTCGCTTGTATTTGTGGCCTGGTTTCTGGCATGCCGTGGCCCTGGTGTTGGGGACTCCGCCCTACACTCCCTATGCCAGGGGTCTCCAAACCTTGGCAATTTTAAAACTTGTGGACTTCAACTCTCAGAGTTCCTCAGCCAGCTGGGATTTGAAGTCCACAAGTCTTAAAAATTTCTTTGCTGGCTGAGGAATTCTGGGAGTTGAAGTCCACAAGTCTTAAAAGTTTCTTTGCTGGCTGAGGAATTGTGGGAGTTGAAGTCCACAAGTCTTAAAAGTTTCTTTGCTGGCTGAGGAATTGTGGGAGTTGAAGTCCACTAGTCTTAAAAGTTGCCAAGGTTGGAGACTCTTGTTTTCCACAACTCTGTTCATTTGGGAAAGGGAACTTATGCATCTGTAGAAATGCAGCCCAGTATAGGGTGTCCACAGAGAGAAGTTACCGGTTAAACTGAGCTAATTTTTCCTCTCTCCCTTGTCTTTCCCTGCCTCTTATTCACGATTATGTCAAGAGAGGGATTTTTTTTTCCCCATAGGGCCCATTGTCTTCCTCTCTGAAGACTTGGGCAAAACCTAGCCCTGCTGGCCTTTGATTCAAGCCTTTCGTTGCATCCTTCTCGGCTGTAAGCAAGCTTTCATTCATTCAGGAGCGAGTTGCTACATCCTGAAATTCAGCAAAGCTCCCAGCAGTGGCTGTCCTCCTACGGGTAGTCCTCGACTTAACAACAGTTCATTTAATGACCTGTTTTTTTTGGAAGTTAACAACGGTACTGGGAAAACAAAGTGACGTACGCCACTTTTCGCACTTAACGACCGTTGCAGCATCCCCACGGGTTAGCCTGGTATTACATCCGGATGCTTGACGGCTGACTCACACCGACGACGGTTGCAGCGCCCCCTTTTTGCGAGAAGCAAAGTCAACGGAGACACCGGAGCCACTTAACCACCGTGTGACTAACTTAACCGCGGTGCTTCGCTTGACCCAGTAGAGACGTAAAATGGGGCAAAACTCGCTCAACAAAACTTCTTGCTGAACAACATAAATGTTGGGGGCTCGATTGTGGTCGTAAGTTGAGGACTACCTGCATTTTGACCCGTTGGGGGGGGGGGGCGGGGACAGATTCCTGCCACACGCCGTCTCAGAAGACCTACGGTGGGGCTAGCCTAGTGTAGGGGAAGCAGCTGGGATTCCTCTGGCCTGGCCTGACTAACTAAGCACGTCGCTCTCTCCTTTCTCTCTTGAAGCATTTCTACCAGAGCAGGGCCCAGCCACCGACCAGTGCTTCCCGGGTGCAGAGTAACACGTCGGCTCGGCCTGGCCCACCCACTCATGTTTATCCAGCTGCTTCCCAGGTCATGATGATCCCTTCACAGATCTCCTATCCTGCTTCGCAAGGTGCCTACTACATCCCTGGACAGGTGAGGGGTTAGACTGGGGCTGCGGCCTCCTTCATTGTGGAGCGGCGGAGAGCTTGTGGCTGCTTTCCCAAGCGATCTGTGTCTCCTGGAACCTGGTGTGTCGCTCGCCTTCCCTCTGGGGTTGGTGTAAGAAAGGAGGAGGGGTAAGTTTCTGGTCTTGCCCTCCTGCCTGTCAACAGATAGCATCCCAGTCATGGCTCCCAGCTGCCTGTAACGCTACAGCCTTGGTTGTCTTTTGTCTGGGGATAGCTGTATTTTGGTAAAACAAAACACACGCTGGCAAATGGTCGCATTGTTGATGTATGCAAATGCCTTCCTCCAATGGGGAAGGCAGGAATGGGGTGTGCTGGCCTCGGTCAGAGACAGCAGAAAAGCATTTGGGACCAGGAGGCAACAACAGACATTGAGTTGACGCGACGTGACTTGACTCCCTGCTTAACTGAGCTGCTTGTACAACCCAGTTCATGGGCCGATTATTGTGATTTTACGAGATTTAATGGCTCTCACCCTGAGTCAGTAGCAAAGGACGGCTCCTCTGACCTCCCTTTTCTTATCTGTCCCGAGCCAGTTGGAACAAAGATGATGTATTTTGCACCATTTTTAGGAAATGAGCTTGGCTTGATTCCCGAAGCTTTTCCAGGAATGGCCGCTTAGGAAGCCTTATGTGAACTCTTGCAAACCTACCGGCTAGTCTCAATAGTTCACACGTGAAAATGTTTCCGATTGCTCTTGAAGAAGGTCAAGACATAACACGGTCTCTCCCTCTCTCTCTGTCTCTCCCCCTTCAAGGTTCTGTCCCAGGCTATTCAACTAGAGCCAGTTCCTGTGGTTCAGTCCCTTAATAAATATGAGTGACCTCTAAAAAGTTCTGATGTTTTTATCATGCAGGCTCTGTGCATGGCAAACCTAATTTTAGAAAATGGGGAGTCCTACTATATATAAAAGGGAAAGGGAAATACCCCACAAGCGTTGCCTTCTGCAGTTTCATGTAAAACACATTGTGTGGGTTTGGGATTGTTTTATATTGATTTAGTCCATGGGAAATTATAATGAAATCTTGGCTAGGCTACCACCAGCTCCATCCCTTGCAAGGTCATCCGGTTTTCTCTCCTTGACCAAACTCTTAATTTAGGTCACATTATCTCATAGTTATAAAGGCCTCACCCTAAGCATCCCAAGAAGTGTGTCTAGCAGGTCAAATGCTGGTGGAGACGCGAAGGAGAACCTCATATGGCCTTGTGAGACACAGTACAAGAGGCAAAGAGCCTCCTCAGATACGAGTGCCACGTAAGCCCTCTTCTTTCAGACAAAAGGGATTGCCAAACGATGCTTAAATCGCGGGTCCATCACCCTTTGTCCCTACGGGCTCCAGGTGCTCTCCCTGCAAAAAGAACAGAGGGGAATTTCTTTGGAGATTCTCAGTCATCCAGGTCATGGTTGTCCCAAAGGTGCTTTTTTTTTTTTTCCCCAAAGAGGCAGCTGGGCTTTTTTCTTCTGAAGACGTTTTGCTTCTCATCCAAGACGCTTCTTCAGCTCTGACTGGATGGTGGGGAATGGAAGGATTTATACTCCTTGCAGCTGGTCATTTGCAGGAGAACAAACCCATCTGGACTAGACTCAGCAGTTCATCCGCTTTTAAAAGACGTAGGCACTCTTTTGAAGTCCACATTTTGGACGGAGAGGACTACTGGTTTGAAAGAGGAATCAAAAACAGGCCATTTATCTCAGTGGTAAGTATCTCTAAGCAGCAGCAATCTCCAAGCACCAAGAATACATTAAGGCAGAAGCTTGTCCACCCCAAGGATAAAACACCCAGCCACAAACCGAGCAATGTGGTATATGCAGTACAATGCAGTGAGTCACGTGCAAATCTGTACATTGGGGAAAACAAAACCACTTCATGAACGCATGGCACAACATGGGAGAACAAACCCATCAGGACAAGGTTCAGCAGTCTGCATTTAAAAGACAAAGGTCACTCTTTTGAAGACAGCAAGGTTCACATTTTGGACAGAGAAGACCGCTGGTTTGAAAGGGGTCAAAGAGGCCATCTGTCAAAATTGAACAAAATTGAACTCAACAGAGCGGGAGGTATACGACATCATCTATCTCCAGTCCACAACACAGTCCTTTCAGCAGTTCCAAGAAGGCTCCACACCCATTTGCACCACTCAGGTGACCCTGAAGGCACAGATAGACCTCCAAGCGGCCTCAACGACCCTCTAAAAAGGATGCAAATGACCAATTGTCTGCAAGGAATATCAATCCTTCCATTCCCCACCATCCAGTCAGAGCTGAAGAAGCTTCTTGGATGAGAAGCAAAATGTCTTCAAAGAAAAAACAAGAAAGTCCAGTTGCCTCTTGGGGGAGGGGGGAAGCACCTTTGGGAGCAGGGTGGCCTGGTCTGATTTTCATGATGGCCCTTCCTATTGAAGGTATCGATTGCTGGAGCCAATGATACTCTCAAGCCTGTGGTTACATTTATAATTACTAGAATGTAATCAGTGGATGGTGCTTAGAGGGCAGAGACTTGGACTTGAGACTTGGAGGGTTGAGATTAGTCGTCATAAAGTGAGACAGAATAGATCTGGAGTTGGGGTGGTGGGGGAAAGAATTTAGAAAGGCAACACCGTCTCAGCAAACATCCATTGGAACATTTTAGTGCCAGCCTTTATCAGTTAAAAGACAAGATGTTTTAGTTTACTTTATTGTCATTATACCTCGCACAATGAAATTAAATACCACCTTCAGTGTACATTATGACTATGAAAATAAACACACCCCCTTCACATTCTATACATCAAATTGAAAACCCCCTGATATCACATTAACATTGCACTGTACAGTAGAATTCAACAACGCTGCACAAATTTAAAAAAAAAGTTTAAGGTTGAGAGAAACATTTCTTAAGCTTTGTAAGGACGATTTGCTCAATCTTTGGATGCTGCAATTTGAGGATCAGCACACAAAGTATAATCTCTGTTTAGTTCTTCTGGACTTCTGGATCTAGTGCAGCTGGCTGGGGAATTCTGGGAGTTGAAGTCCGCCAGGCTTAATGTTGCCAAGGTTGGAGACGCCTGACCTAGTGGGCTTCCCTGGGCCATTTCCTTAAGCTCAGCGCTGCCTGCTTTGTTCTCTTCTGAATGCAGTCTTGAGGGTTCACCTGCTCCATTTCTCCTCTTCTTCTAGGGTCGCAACACATATGTCGTTCCGACACAGCAGTATCCTGTCCAACCTGGTGCCCCCAGCTTTTACCCCGGAGGCAACACCCCAGAGTATGGCCCTTTTGGTAAGTGCACAAACGCATGCCTGCCAACACTGATAGGGTTTCATCCCTAAGATGGCCAACCTCTCCAGTGGGGGTTAAAGGGGAAGGTAATCCTCGATTTACAGCCACAATCGAGCCCACAATTATTGTCACTGAGTGAGTTTTGCCCAATCTTACAATCTTTCTTGCCATGGTTGTTAAGTGAATTGCTGCAGTTGTTAAGCTAGTAGCACGGGGTTAAGTAAATCTGGCTTCCCCATTGACTTTGCTTGTAAGAAGGTCACAAAAGGGGATCACATAACCCCGGGACACAGCGGTCATAAATACGAGTCAGTTGCCAAGCCTCCAAATTTTGATCATCTGACTATGGGGATGTCAAGGCTCCAACAAATCCACCCCCATTCAAATCATAACCTAGCCGCATCTTTCAGAGTAAAAAAAAAATTGATTTATTAGGAGTGACCATCTTGGCGTTACCTGGGTGCAGCTGACACTAAGATATATCATTCATTTCCCCCTTGACCCTGGTCCACCCCTGGATGTATATTCTCCAATGGGACACATCCATAGCCAAGAGTCATCAACAATGCTCTCCAGTAATAATCTTGTGCACCAACAGCTTTGGCTGCCTAGCAATTATCTGAAGCATTTAAGGAATGCACTACTTTCCCCACTCCCTTTCCGCTGGCAACTAAAAAAAGACCAAAGGAGTATTTTTTTAGTTGACGGGATGCTGCAACAGTCGGAAGTGTGAAAAATGATTATAAGTCACTTTTCTTCACCGCAGTTGTAACTTTGCATGGTCACTAAACAAATGGTTGTAAGTCAAGGATCTGTACAGGTAGTCCTTGACTTACGACCATAACTGAGCCCAAAATTTATGTTGCTGAGACAGTTTGTTAAGTTTTTTTCTCACTTTATGACCTTTCTTGCCACCGCTGTTGAATGAATCACTGCAGTTAAGTAACACGGTTGTTAACTGGCTTCCCCATTCACTGGGCTTGTCAGAAGGTCGCAAAAGGGGATTGTGTGACCTTGGGACACTTCAACCGTCGTAAAAACTATGAATCAATTGCCAAGCATCTGCGCCGGTCGTAAGTGTGAAAAGCAGTCATAAGATACCTTTTTGTCAGTGCTGTCGTATCTTCATGGTCACTAAACAAACGGTTTTAAGTCGAGAACTATCTGTATATGGAAATGTATCTGGATTAGAGGCAGAATTGAGAAGTGAGGAATTTTTGGCCTACTAATGAAATTAGCTGCTCCATGATGGCTTCTGTTCGCTCCTTCCGTAATCCTCACTTTTTAAGCTCTGTCTCCTGCTGTTTTAGGCTTTGCAATTTATCCTTGAATATAGTGGCTTTGCTCTGATAAGGTGTTAAGTATTGATTTATTTTGTTCTCAGTGTGAAATGATTAAGGATAATACTTGGGGAAGATACACAGAGAACTTGGCCAGAAAAACTTGGTGCAGACGGGGAAAATTTCTTGCTAGGAGAAAAGATTGATGTTCAATTGAATTCTTGAAGAGAAAATAAAAATTGAGATTCAGTTATGCAGATAAAGAATTCTAGATAAAGAATTCTAGATAAAGAATTCCTTCTCATCAAACCTCTGGAATTTAAAAGAAATGCATCAAAATGGCCTTTTTTTTGTCGGATTTAATGCCTGGATACCATATCATGCCTTGTAGTAATAGTTTAATTTTTGCCTTTTTCTGGAGTGGCTTTTTCCCCTCCTCCCCCCAGTTTTGCATTCTAGCCAAACATCCTGTATCATTGTCTTCGACCTATGACCACAATTGAGCCCAAAATTTCTATTGCTGAATGAAGTGGTTGTTAAGTGAGTTTTGCCCCCTTTTCTTTATTGCCACAGTCGTTCCAGTGAATCACTGCGGTTGGTAAGTTATTAAGTGAGCCTGGCTTCTCCATTGACTTTGCTTAACCCCAGAACATTGCAGCTATCCTAAATATGAGTCAGTTGCCAAAAGTGCCTGAATTTTGATCCATGTGTCCATGGAGAAGCTGCAACGGTTGTGAGAAAAACGGTCATAAGTTCCTTTTTGCAGTTGTAAGTTCCTTTTTGCTGTACTAACTTTGGACCTTGGTATTCATCATTAATTGGTTCTGGGAGGGGCAAGGAGTACCAATTCTCCCCCACAAGGAATAATGTAGTGAGCCAGAAGGCCATTGACAATGATAGATTCTTGCTTGTGTATCAAGTGCCAAACAAACGATGAGTAGTGGGACACAATTTTTGCATCAAAATGCGTTGATACCAAATTCGATGAGTTTCAAAGCAGTTGAGTACCAAGGTACTTATTCTCTAATTTGCAAAGAAATAAGGTTTTATTCCATTTCCTGGAGGTGATGGAAAATGTAGGCACTGAGAGAAGCATTCTGTGATGACTCGGGGCGCCATACAAAATAACAAAGTCACAAAAGTAGAATAAATTCCCTTTAATGCCTCCAACTTGGCCCCAAAGTCCAATTATCCTCGGCTGGTTATCAAACTCTTCCAAAAACAGTCTACGAAGGGCAGAAATGCAGTCCGACCCAAAGTAAAGATAATTAGAAATAAAAAAACCAACACAAACCACACTGAAGTAATTAACACGGCTTTCAAAGGATAATGCAGCACCCACAGTTGGGAGGACTCCAAAACCCTCAACAAAGATAGGAAGCAAAGGAGCCGTGTGCAAATGCCGCACGTATATCCTGTTCTCCCAGCTGCAACTAATGAAAGGGATCAGGGCCTTTTCGTCTCTCGTAAGCCACGTTGCTCCCTTCTTCGTTCCTCCCTGCGTGCCCTAGGATGAAGAGGGGGGTGGCCCTGGGTCTTCCTCTGAATGCCCAGCCAGACTGTGCCCCTCCCAGCCACTGGAACCACACTCCCACTCCCTGTCAGCTGCTAAATCTCCCCCTCAGAATCAGACTCCAACAAGGGCATGACACATTCTGGGAGAAAGATGGAAATATATAACTGTTCTAGGCAGAACAAGTTCTGAGTTTGAATCCTGATTTTTGGGAATATTGGGAACGCAGAAAAAACAAGGGCTTGTTCCCTTCATTTTCATTCTAGCACAGTAAAAATAGAATAGTGGTGCATTCTGATCACTTACAGGTAGCCTTTGCCTTACAATCATTTGTTTAGCGACCTTTCAAAGCTACGATGGCGCTAAAAAGAGCCTTTCCACTGTTTTCACGCTTACAATCATTGCAGTGTCCCCATTGTCACGTGATCAAAATTTGGACCCTTGACAACTGGCATGTATTTATAACGGTTGCCGTGTCCCACGGTCACATGATTTTATGACCCTCTGTCAGGCAAAGTCAATGGGGGAGAAGCCCCTTAACCGTGTTGCTAACTTTTACAGCTGCAGCGATTCACTTAACAACAGTGGCAGGAAAGGTCGTAAAACGGGGCAAAGTTTGCCAAATAGCTATCTCACTTAGCAACAGGAATTTGGGACTCCGTTGTGGTCGTAAGTCAAGAGCTACCTATAGGCAACCTCCAACAGAATTGATCAAGGGAATGAATTTTTTTTTGGTATAGCAAACAGTGGATGGATTCACTAAGCAGAAGGAAATATACCTTTTGCAATTCTGTCTTTGACTTTTTCTTTTAACCCACAAATAAGGAAGCTTCTATTCATCAGGGCACTAAGCAGGAAGGAAAGAGAGAGGTTAGGAGGGACGGGGAAAGTATTTGCAACTAGGGAACATAAAGGGAGAAGATTGTGTGTTTGCTGAGCTGGCAAATGGGTGAAACCTGTGCTTTATCTATCAAGCTGGAGGTGAGTCATTGGGCTGAATGCCCATCATGGAAATGTGGCCTGTCTGATTACCTGCATCATGGAAAATTGGCTTGCAACTTACTTAGCCTTGCTCCTGACACATAACCACAGATAGCCCACGACCACGGTTGAGCCCCAAATTTCTGTGGCTAAGTGAAACATTGGTTCAGTGAATTTTGCACCGTTTTACAACCCAATTTTTGCTACAGTCGTTAAGTGAATCACTGCAAGTTATTGAGTTTGTAACGTGGTTGTTAAATGACTGGCATTTCCACGATGTAAAAAAAAAAAAAAAGATGTTGAGACTCTAGAAAAGAGTGCAGAGAAGGGCACCGAAAATGATGAGGGGACCGGAGTCTTAAAACATAAGAACAATTGCAGAAAGTAGGTTTGTCTTGTCTAGATGTGGCCTGCAGGGCCACCCTGGGAATAGCGAAGGACTGGCCCATGGTGCCTCTGCCAACACGTGGCCCTTCCAAGCTTGGTTTTCGGCTGCGATAGCCTCTGCCAGCCCTCTGCCAGCGAAAACAGATGGACCCTCCTGGGCACTGTTTTCGGTTGCGACGTTCTCCAGCCCTCTGCCAGTTAAAACGAAGCCCGGGGGGACCATGTCAGCTCTGTTTTCGCTGGCAGAAGGACTGCAGGAGGCCATTGTTGCCGAAAACAGCGTGGGAGGGCTGCATGCAGCCTCCTGAGCTCTGTTTTCGCTGGCAGAAGGGCTGCAAGAGGCCATTGTTGCCGAAAACGGAGCTCGGGAGGACCACGCCAGCTGCTTTCGCTGGCAGAAGGACTGCAGGAGGCCATTGTTGCCGAAAACAGCGTGGGAGGGCTGCATGCAGCCTCCTGAGCTCTGTTTTCGCTGGCAGAAGGGCTGCAAAAGGCCATTGTCGTCAAAAATGGAGCTTGGGAGGACCACGCCAGCTGCTTTCGCTGGCAGAAGGACTGCAGGAGGCCATTGTTGCCGAAAACGGAGCGTGGGAGGGCTGCATGCAGCCTCCTGAGCTCTGTTTTCACTGGCAGAAGGGCTGCAAGAGGCTGTTGTCGCCAAAAATGGAGCTCGGGAGGACCACGGCAGCTGTTTTCGCTGGCAGGACTGCAGGAGGCCATTGTTGCCGAAAACGGAGCGTGGGAGGGCTGCATGCAGCCTCCTGAGCTCTGTTTTTGCTGGCAGGGCTGCAGAGGATTCCCTCCCAGCCGCAAGTGATGTCAAACTGGCCACGTCCGCC